CCCTCTGGGGGGTGATTTCTCGCTTTCTGTCTCTCTGTCTCTGTCTTTCTGGTGAGTGCATGCATCCTATAGCAAAAACCTCTCAAAAAATATTTTTTTGGGAACCAGCAGTTAGCGTAATGGCTATGTCGCTGGACTCCCACGTAGTCGACTGTGGTTCACGTCCCGGACCCGGTGGCTTAAAACTCACACCGGGCGCGGTGTGCCCAAGATCCCGAGAGGAGAATGGAGGAGAAGAGATTGCGGCGTGACCATCCCCCATGGGGGGTGATTTCTCGCTTTCTGTCTCTATGTCTCTCTCTGTCTGTCTGGCGAGTGCACGCGCCCTATAGTAAAAAATATATATATTTTTTTTAAATTTAACTTTATGTATTTATTTTAATTTGACCATAGAGGTTTAGAGTGAGAGAGAGAGAAAGTAAGAAAGCAAGCCACCAAGCCTGGCGTCCTCCCGCCCTGCCGGTCAGCCCCGAGGAATGTCCCAGGGACTAACCCGTGACTGGTGGCATTGCTCCGATAGTGTCCCCGTCACTCACACGGGACCCGTGGGCAGTCTGCTCTCCCCGGTCAGGGAAGGCGTGTCTCCAGCGGCTCGCCAAGTCTTCATTTTTTTTGGAGAGTTTTTTGTTTTTTTTTTTGGGGGGGGGGAAGTGGCCCTCGCCGAAGACAGGAAGCGAGAAATCACCCCCCGGGGGGATGGCCACGCCACAATCCCTTCTCCTCCATTCTCCTCTTGGGATTTTGGGCACACATGCACACGCTCCTGGTGTGAGTTTTAAGCCACCAGGTCCGGGACTCGAACCATGGTCGAATACGTGGGAGTCCAGTGACATAGCCATTACGCCAACTGCTGGTGCCCAAGTCTTCATTTTGAGACCGCCTCCGCACTGCCTAGCTCGGGACCGAGGTGGCCCAATTCCATTACGCACATGGGACCTCCCTCATGCTCTCCCAGTGCCCGTCTCCTGTCTCGCCTCGCCCACGCATCTGGCAGCTTCATTCTGCCCCGTCCACACGCCGGGACTCACTGTGCATGATGGCTTGGATCTCGTACTGGGGCCTCAGGGCCAGGGAGCTCCAGGGCAGGGTGGGGCAGGTGAAGGTGAGCTCCTTTAGATCCGGTTCCTGCAGGGCCTCCAGCAGGGTTCGAGGGCCGCGGGGCTCCCACTTCCAGAAGGGCCCCTTCTGGGACAGCGGCAGGTGCAGGGTGACCGGCTGGGATCCCGCATCCAGGACGCAGCGGGCGCAGGGCGAGCCGAGTCTCACTTCCACGGCCTCAAGCCTGAGGGGCTGGTCCTTGGGCACGGCCCCGGCCTCCGTGGTGAGGTCGCGGGCCGACGTGAAGTACAGGGGCGGCTGCAGGGGGCTCCGAGCGGCCGCAGAGACCAGTTCCTCCAGGGTCCTGTAGCCCGTGGGGCTGGGCAGGGGGCTGAAGGAGCCTGTGGGTACGGGGCAGTCACTAGCCGCCGGGGACGGGCCCTGGGCCAGCCAGGGTCCCCAAGGACAGGTGTCACGGACAGCTGCACATGGACAGTGGGCTGAGGGACAGCAGGCAGAGAGTGGACAGTCCAGCTAAGATGCGGAGGACTGTGGCCTGGGACACAGCGGACAGCACGGGGACCTCGACAGGCATGCTGATGACTCCCAGGTCCTGCCCTGACCTGCCTGCCTCTCCTGCGGCCACCCTCTCCTCCTCTGGAGCCTCCCAGGACTCCAACCCACCCCGCACTGTCCTCTCCGCCACCCCAAGCCACGCCCCAGGAGCTGCTGGCCACAGCGACCTCTGACTACCCCGTCCTGTCAGCCGACAGCGGCCACCCACTGCTCCCCACAGCCCCGGTCGCCTTCCTGCACCACGGCCTAAACGCCCCCTGCCAAGCAGCCCCCCCTCAGGGAAGCACCCTCAACTGCATGCAGCTGCTCCCCGGTCCCCTGCACCCCCAGACTGGCCATCCCGGACATGTGTGGGGACTTCTGCAATGCGGGCGTCAGGGCTGAGCGAAGGGCTGTCCCCACCTAAGGGAGCAGAGCGATCGAGCACGATGTGTCTGGGGACGGGACTGGCGGGCGGGGGACCCACTAGGAAGGCCACTCCTGGGACAGCAGGTCCGACGTGCCACTGAACCAGAGCAAGTGTCCCAGTGCGACCGCTGAGCGGCGGCATGTGAGTGACGGTCCTTGTTCTAGGGACAGACCCAACACTGTCCGGGGAGACATCAGATGTGAAGGGCACCACACCTGCCGTCTGCTCTCAGATGGGTCAGAAAAGACGTGAGGGCTGGCAGGAGGCCCTGGTAGTTAAGGCACTGGACTCCCACATGGCTGACTGCAGTTTGAGTCCTGGACCTGCTGGCTTGCTTTCTCCCTCTCTCTCTCTGGTCAAACTGAAGAAGAAGAATAAATAAAGCAACTCATTCTTTTTTTTAAAGGTGTGTGATAGGGGACCAGTCGGTGGTGTAGTGGTTAAGGCACTGGACACTCCCACATGGCCAACCATGGTTCGAGTCCTGGACCTGGTGGCTTGCTCTCTCTCTTCTCTCTCTCTGTGTCTGTCTCTCCCTGGTCAAATTAAATAAAATGAATGAATAAATAAAATAAAATAAATATTCTAAAAAAAGAAAAGTTTAAAAAAAGGCGTGTGATATAGCTGTACACAAATATCCATGTATGCACACACGTGTATGTTTACATGTATGTAGAGAGAGAAAGCAAACGCAATGACAGCTACACAGAGAGCCTGGGTGAGTGCCACAGGAGCTCCAGAAGTCTCTGTAAACTCGAAATCATTCCAAAAGGCCAGCCAGGCAGAGAGGTGGCTAAGGGCTGGACCCCACAGGACAAATTGCACAGTTCAAGTCCTGGACCCAGAGGCTTGTAAAACACGTGAGGCGTGTGCGTGTGTGTCCAAAATCCCAAGAGGAGAATGGAAGAGAAGGGACTGCAGCATGGCCGCCCCCAGTGGTGCTTTCTCACTCTCCCCTTTCTCTCGAGAGCACACATGGCCTATCACAAACTGAAAACCAAACGACAAAAACCAAGGGCCACGGCGTACTGGAGATGCTCCGCTCGGGAGAATCTGGGCCCACACGGCAGTCGCGGTTCAAGTCCCCAGCACAACCAGCCCGAGATGCCTGGGCACCACGAGCACCCGGGCCAGCAGGCCGGAGCTGAGGAGGGGCACCCGTGTGAGCCAGCAGGTGGGGTAGTGGGCACGGTGCTGGACTCCCATGAGGCCGACCGCAGTTCGAGTCCTCGACCTGATGGCTTAAAATATCATGCCAGCACATGTGTGTGCTTGCTCACAATTCCAGGATCATGGACAAGAAGGGGTAGCAGTGTGGGCCATCCGCTGCCGAACTCCCACAGGCCAACCACAGTTCGAGTCCCAGACCTGGAGGCTTGCTTTCTCTCTCTCTCCTCTAGTGAGTGTATGTGCCCTATGACTAATTGAAAAATAATAATAATAACATTAAATAGTTTTTTAAAATAATAAATAAATAAAAATGGGGCCAGCCCTGCAGCCTAGCAGTGCATAACTGTTCATGGTTCAAATCCTGGCCCCAGCAGCTTGAAAAAACACCAGCACATGGGGCTGGCAGGTGGTGTTGGCATTGGTCTCCCCATGGCTGACTGAGGTTTGAGTCCCAGATCTGGTAGTTGGCTTTCTCTTTTCCTTTCTCTCTCTCTTTCTCTGGTCAAATTAAAATAATAATAATAAATAAAGCTAAACAATTATTTTGAAAGAAAAGTAAAGAAAAAGCACCAGCACACGTACGTGCATGCCCCACATCCCGACAGGGTGGAGAAGTGGAGGAGCCACGAGTGACCACACCCACTGGGTGCTCGCTCCCCTCTCCCTTCCCCTCTCTCTCTTTCCGGAGCGTGCACATACTCTCTGGCAGTTAAAACAAAACAAAACAAAAAGAACGAAGAAAATAATTATTTTAAATAAATAAAATGAAGCCCTTGAAATGTACAAAATAAAACACAGTACTTCCACGTTATCAAGTCTCACAGACTCCTAAGCTCTCCAGATGAACAGCAAACTGTCGGCCAGCGCTCCACGCAGCCCCGAGGCGGCACCCCGTCCACCTGCTGCCACGTGACCCACGCAGCACCTGCCGGCGTCCAGCGGCTGTGAGAACGTAACAAGCCCCTGCGCCCTCCAGCGGCGGGTGAGAGCATAACCCAGCACCTGCACCTTGCAGCAGCTGTGAGAGCACCTGCGCCCTGCAGCGGCCCCTGGAAACATAACCGAGCACGTGCGCCCTCCAGCTGCCGTGAGAACGTAACCGAGCGGGCGGAGCTGTCAGGGCACCTGCTTTTGTCCCTGACCTGTTCTCTGTGCTCCGGAGTCACTTCATCCTCACCTCAAGCCTAATTTCCCCCATGAGCAGGAGGAAGCTGAGATCCAGGGAGGTCCGCAGAACTTACCCCATGGCCACAGCTGAATTCCCAGTCACGCCCCTCCCACGCACTCTCTGGCTTTAGGGCCAGCCCTGGTTCACCACCAGCATGCGTCCTAAATAGGTGAGCTCCAGGGAGCACAGGCTACCCCCCTAGCTGGGATCCTTCCCCTGGCTCAGGTGCCCTCTCCTCCGGGAAGCCCTCCCAGACCCCGAGGCAGGTTGCTCTTTTCCACTGGTGTCCTCCTCTCCCCAACAGAAGCTCCAGGCTGGAGAGGGCTGAGCCTGGTCAATTGCATTCGTACACCCCCAGGCCCACAGGCTGGATGCGCGTTCAGCAGAGTGTGGAGAGTGACTAGGAGCAGATGCGGAGCTGGGCACAGACAGACCTGACCACAGGAGACAGGGTCGGGAGGCTGACCGGGCAGAGTGCTATGGCTTTGGGGCATCCCAACCCGATGCCAGGAAGGAGCGGACATAGTGCCTGGTGTGCAAGCCCAGGACGGCCGCGTGGGGCCTGGAGGGCGCCGGGCACACGGAAGCAGGAGGGCCACCTTACCCTGGAAGCTGGGGCTGAGCTCCAGTGTCTGGCCTGTGCCCGGCTTCTCGCAGACCACCTTCTGGAGGCGGACCTGGGTCACTTTGATCAGGTCCCCTGTGGAGAGGCAGCACTCGCTCCCGCAGACCTCGTACACAGAGCCTGTGGAGACAGGACTTGGTTTCCCACTCAGCCCACGCCCTGGGCCGACCAGCCCGCTTCGGCCACTGCGCTTCTGCGCTGTCCTGCCCACCCTCCCTGCCCAGCGACCCCTACACTGCCCTGGGGCCACAGGAATCCCGGCTTGCCCTCTCTCGACGTGGGGCATGCACGTTCCTAACTGGTGCGGGCTCTGTCCTGTCTCATGTTGCCATGGCCCCAAACTGAGCCCTGCGCCTGAGCAGGGAGTGAAGGACACTGCGTCCAAACCCCTTCCTACCCGCTGTGTTGGCGGCTCTGGACCACATCCTGAGCCACAGAGAGCCAGGCCCGGCCCTCTGTTCTTTAATTTGCTAGAGGGCACATGTGCATGCCAGAGAGACAGAGGGACAGTGAGAAAGCACCCTCCGAGGGGGACGGTCACGCCGCGATCCCTTCTCTGCTTCTCCCTCTTTTTCGGATTTTGGGATGCGCACGCAGGCCAGCATGCCTTTTTGCAAGTCACTGGGTCTGGGACTCAGACCAGGCAGGCGTGGAGCTGGCTGTACCATGCCACCAGCTGACCTCGGCCTCCATCCCTCGACACCTGGCTTTCCTCTAATGATAGTTGTTTGAAGGGAAGAGGGAGGGAACGGGGTGGGGTGGTCTGGGCACCCAGCAGCTCTGCTTCAGAGCCGCAGCAGGACACAGTGCTGGCTGGAGAGCAGCTGGCCAGGCACGGCTCCACCAGCTGCAGGGGGCAGGCGATGCAGGGGTCGCCCTGCCCTGACCCCATGGCCAGGACAGCCCGGCTGCCCTCACAGCACCCCCAGGACGATGCACACGGGTCACTAAGCACAGAGCTGCCTGTACCGTCAGGCTGGACCTTCTGCTCTGTCACAGCAGCTCCAAGTGGGACACGCCTGGCCTGGGCTCAGAGCCTCAGGCCGCCCTGCATTTAGGGCTCACAACTGCCCTTGCAGTGTGCGGTGCGACAGCTTCCCTGCCCCGGACGGAAACTGAGCCTGTGAGAGGCTGTGGCCTCCGAGACGGGGACATACCGGGCGGCAGAACCGGGGTCCTGAGGGCATCGCCTTGGCGAGGTCAACTGCTTCGTGTGTGTGCACATGTGCGTGCAGCATATGTGTGAACGTGTGTGAATGTGTGTGTGTGCGTGTGCACACAGGGTGTCCTTCAATAGGATCTGGCTATGTCGTGGTCCTTCTGCCTCAGCCTCCAGAGTTGCTGGGACTGCAGGGCGCCCACTCACCCAGCTCTCCAGGATGGCCGGGGAATCGAACCTGTGCTTCTACATGGCTAGCCTTCCTGACGCAGCATCCAGCCGGTGCTACCAAGGCTGGGACTCCTGCCTGCTCACCCTACCGGCTTGGCCACCGCCCTCTCCACAGTCCCTCATCCCACTCCCACCCCGGGGTTCCTCCCCAGTCAACGACCCGTGACTTCCGCCTTCCCACCCTCCCACCGCCTAGGCCAGGCAGGATGAAGAAACAAGCTATTGTGACACCAGCAGGAACGGCCAGCCCAGGACAGAGGGCCCTGACCGGGGCCTGGGAGGCCTGCAGGAAGTCCCGGGGGGTCCGAATCTGTACCCAGACCCAGAGACCCACGTGGAGGTGGAGAAGCCCACCGTGAGGCCGGTCTGTGCAGCCCCAAGGTGTGGTGTCAGTCCTGGGGAGCCGGGTGCTCTGGCGGCCCGAGCGCCCTTTGCTCTCTAAGGAAAGAGCCTGCGCCCCACATCTCGGCTCCCCGCTCCGCCTCGCTCCCGTGCACTCCGTTGCTGGCCCTTCTGGCCATAGCCGGGACCCTGCTCTGCTGCGCTCCGTCTCTGCCCTGTGGCAGCACGCAAGGAGCAGAGCCGGAGGGCGCCCTGCAGGAAGAAGACCGACGCAGAGCGCGGAAGAGTTAGGCGAGCCGAGCGCGGCTCCAGCAGAAGGCCAGGTGGGCCAGGGCGCCCTGGGAGAGAGGAGAGGGAGCGCACAGGGCCGGGCCGGCCGGCACTCACGGAGCGTCACGGCTCACCCAGCTCCGTCGCTGCGACCGCGGTGCCCGCCTTGAGTCTGAACGCGCCTGCTGCTCGTTGCCACCGGCGGGGCAGCTTAGCGGTTCCCCACTCCAAGACGTAAGGCCGAGGACCAGAGGGGCTGAGTGTGGCTCCAAATCACACGGCTCAGGAAGTGGCCATGCCGAGATTCGGACCCGCGTCCAAGTGTCCCCAGGTTTCTAGCGCCCTCGCAGGACCTCTGCCCCTCAGGCCTCCACACAGGGAAAGCCTGAGGTCCCGGCCCCACTCACCCTCGAAGTAAACCCCCGAGCAGACCCGCAGAACACGCGGGAGGGAGGTGGGGTCCAGGGCGCGCACGAAGTCCTGCAGCGGTACCGGTTCCATGGTCTCCCTGCGGCTCACTGGGCGCAGACTGAGCAGGGTGCACTGCAGCGCGCGACCCCGCATGAGCCCCGCCCCGGCCCCGCCCACACGAGCCC